CATCATCGTCATCATCATCATCATCGTAGGGAATGGATCTACATCGAAACCGTGGACAAGATTCAAGAAACGAAGAACAATAGCGTAACAATTAACAACAGTCGAACGAGAACACAGAAAGTCAACACACAAGCTGAATACACTGAAGCAAACAAGAGAGTGAGCATTAGAGCATTACAGCTGACAAACAGAAATACAAGGAACACTTGGCAGTGACAGAGGAAAATGATGCAAGAGAAGGGAATACCAAACAACTATCTGACACGACGAAGAAACTGGTAGGGAAATGTGGTAAACCGGAAAGACCGGTCAGAGACAAAGAAGGAAAGCCGAACCGGATGAAGGATTCAGTAAGTGCACAGCCTCGAGATCAACAGGTTGGATTCCATAAGGATTAGTCATGCACACACCAAATCACCACAATACGCATCATCGTTGAACAATCAATCGAATAGAACTCGTCACTTCACAGATGATGATCTGGCAATTCCACCCCATACACACGACCAAATTCAGATGAAGACAAACAGTGTAGCAGAATCCTCTACATCATTAGGTCTCAACATACACAAGGAAAAATCAACATCCTCAAATACAACATGGAGAACACCAATCCAATCACACTTGATGGAGAAACTCTGGGAGATGTGGAAATTCCACGTACTTGATCAGCATCATCGATGAACAACGAGGATCCAATGCAGACGTAAAGGCAAGGATTGGCAAAACAAGGATCGCGTCCCTACAACTGAAGAACATATACAGCTCAAAACAACTATCAATCAACATCAAAGTCACAATCTCCAGGACAATTCTACTGTTCGGAGCTGAAACTTGGAAAGCTATCACAATCATCATCATCACCATCACCATCATCATCAAGAATGTACAAGTAGTCATGAACCATTGTCTACGCAAGATTCCGAATGTCCGTTGGCCGTATACCGTCAGCAATTGCCTACTGTGTGAGAGGGCAAATCGGATTCCAGCTGCGGAGGACATTAGGAAAATACGTTAGTAGTGGGTTGGACATACATTAAGGAAATCATCAGGCTGCATCGTGAGACAAGCGCTAACTTGGAATCGTGAATTGAAACAGACATGAAAAGGACGAATATCAACTGGAAACAACTGTAAATGTTTGGTCAGTACAGAGTTGAACGGAGAGTGTCGGTGGGTATTCTGTGCTCCTCTACGATGGATATCGGGAGTTAGTATGAGACTCTAAACAAACAGGATCATTTATTATGTAGGACACATTATTAAGCCCATTTTCTTCAGCTTCCATTCGAATACATTTGTCAGGAGAACTGATACGGGTTTATTATTTATCAGTATTTTTGTGAGGAAAGGAAAGCTTCTGACAGTTACGTGTATGTAAGTGTTTCGTTGTTGTTAGGTCATGATGGAATATAGTGTATTAATAATCAATAACGACTTGGTAAGCAGCTTACATTCACCTCAAATCCTTAGCATTACCTATGTAAGACCACCCTTGCAGACCTTGAGGCAATGGACAACCGTTTCTTTCTATTATGCGACTCAGCAGTGCGCATCCATGATACTGGGCCTCGGACGGAGGACTTTCGGTCTCTCACGTGAAATCTTAGCCTCTAGACCACTGAGTCGGTTTCCTTCGGTTCTAATGTTAACCGTGTCGAGTATGAGGCTGTTACCCACTGAAGACAATCGAAAATGGTCGCAGAATAATATGGATTGGTTGAAAGACTAATCTTTGAAGTAAAACTTTATTCTACATACAAAATTCTTCTATCCATCTGTACTAGCCATAGGATTCACTGGTGTCGATATTAAATATCAACCAACTTTCAGGTTTCCCACATTCATATAGTTAATTTCATCAATAAAATATGCAGTTTTTTACTTCATTATTTACAGATAAGTGAGGGTTATCCAAAAGAACTTTATTTAATATTGCTATTTTATTGGGACTGTTTCATAAACAAGAGATATGTTGTGGATATGATATGGTTTAACGAATTACTACTCCTTCCGAATGGGCTCGAAGTTCAACAAGGTACAATGAAGAAGTTAAATTTGAAAAAAGATCAGTGGTATGGTATTGCTATTAAGATTCAACACATAATAAAATACTTAGTTGTACAGTAACTGGGTCGATTAGCACCCACACATCTATTTCATATCAACTTCACAAACAAAAGTACCAGACAGGTGTCTCATTACACGTGTTGTTTAATTAACGCATAATTAATAAATTATCTTTAAATCCTGATATCTTGTGGACCCATTGTTTTTGGTAATGGGTGAGTTTGATGCAGTTAGTTAGATCGGTAACAGTCAACTATAAACAAAATATTAGAAATTTTAATATAAATAATAACGACTAATTCTAGTTTATTCGCAGACATTTCGATACATAGGAATAGTAACTTTATTTAAACTAAAGTGAGCCAAAAATTTGTACTTTTAAACAGTATTTGTTCAGTTATTTTTCTAATTTTTTTTTCAATGAACTACTAGTTACACAACCGTTTATGTTATTTCATTTTAAGTTGATTTTGTGTACAATTTAAAAATTATTCGTGTGAACATTTACCTGCTATTGAAAAAAATAGGCTATATTTCGATCTTTTAGAAAAAAATGTGCTATACGGGACAAATTCAAATGTAACTGGAACTGACAGTAAACGTGTGCTTTTAAGTATGGAGAAAAAAACAAGGTTGAAATGGTGCTTGTACATGTATGGCTATAACACTGTTAGACTAGATAAGTAAATCAACGAACTTAATTACAAGGAAAGTAGACTTGTTTATAGTAGCCTGAATTGTTGGATTTTAATGCAATATATCAGTGTTACAACTGATGTTGTAGGTGTTCTATTCTGTTTTGAGATTCATCAATCGGATGAACTGGACCTCTGTGAACTTTTTAATTTAAAACTAAACACATCACCTAGTACTTAGGAAGCTGAAGAAATGTCTGTCAAGTCATAGAGCGACTTATAACAGTTGCTACTCGTTCAACAAATACTGTCATAAAATTTTACGCTTTCTGATGATCTTTATAGAGCTGATATGACCTATATTCATCTTATTTTGGTTTTTTTATAAAGATTTCGATATTATGTGGTTAGATTTTAATCAAAGTTACTTCCTCCTTGCTTATTTCCTAGTGTTCACATTGTTTTGACGATGTAATTTCTGTCATATCCGTACTGCCTCAAAGTTAGTAACGTGGATATTTGGTGATCTGCATTCAAATATACATTTTGAAATGCTTCATACATCCTATTGTTGTATTGTGTCCTCATATACAACCATTTTTCTTTTATTCCATACCAGTTTTCTACCACAAGCTTTAATCTCCTTCCTTACTTGACGATATCTATAACTAGCTAATCACTCCCCCGGAAACTAATGAAATCCAGGGACACAACATAAGAATTTTTTAAAAATTAAACCAATTGCAGAGAAATACTTGAGGGAACAAACTTCTTAAGCAAAAGAAGTGTAAGTTAGCATAGTCTCCAAATGATGCGTAAATCTGAGCAAGTGAGAGGTTACTAACTTGGTTGAAAATATTGACATAAAATAACAGAAAGTAGCAAAAACTGGGACAACAGTCTAGATAAGTTTTCCCGTATGAACTATTCTATACGAACAACTTGAAGGAAGTGTTGAATTTGTCAAAAGTTGGTGGTGCGAAATTCCTAGATTTTTGTTTTTGTGAAATCTTGTCACGGTTTCCTCTATACGGCTTAAATTACACTGTTATCTGTCCGATGACGGTAGTAGAATTGAGTATGAGCATAGAAGCTTTCTTTGGTGCTAGTGATAACCTCGATAATGGATGACCACTGTTTACAGCTAATCTTTCAACAGTATAAAACAAATTCTTATTTACTCCCACTCCTTTATGTGGAAAAATATTAGAAAGGTAAGTAGATTAAGAAGTGGTTCTTTAGATTTCCTGGAAAGGGAAAAATATCCCAATCTCCATATTTTAGGGAGATGGCACAAAACCCTCAAAATTTCCCCAAATTTTGGGGAAAACTACCAAATTTCTTACGACTTGGGGAAAACCCCAAAAATTTAGCCGAAATGGGGACCAGACTAAATTTAACAAGTGATTTCGACCCAGTTAAAATATCTTATTTTGTAGCTGTCAGAAACTGGTTAGTTTGGAAAGTAACATATACCATCCTTGGTTGTAACTTTCCTATGATGAGTATGGGATTTACGCTGATAACCACTAAATTGGTATTGTTCTAATTGGTGGCCACCGAACGTGTTGGACCACATGTTAGTAGATAGACACAACTAGAGTGACTTGACCTCAAGTATATTTTTTAATACAATAGTAAATACCATAGACATACAAAAAGTGACATGTATGATTGCGGTGAACAAAACAGCCGAAAATATGATTGGTGCATATGTTTTTGACCTTTCACTGTCTCAAGGTCAACTTATCTGCTTTGTTTCATATCTCTACCTCCAAACAATTCATTGGGGTGTTTCTTGATTTCTGCAGATGTACGGTAACGCTACCGGCTAAGGTTAGTTGGATGTAACTGTGAATTCCGAATATATTAATCTTTTTCCTTGTGCAAATTTGCAAATACAGAATATTATCAGAAGGGGTTTGTGGAGATTTTTAGAACTTTTCACAGATTGAAATCATGAGTCAGTTGAAGCTAGACCACCATTGAAAACCCCTTCTGATAATAATCATCTGCTCACTAGTGACTGACTTCAAGAGATACTCCTGGAGTTCTAGTGGGAAGCCGTTACCAGTGGAGTACAACCAGGTCTGTTGTGAGATATCAGCTCACTGAAGACAATGGTATATGGTGGATTGGTTGAAGTTAGACATTAACACCGTTGGATGCCGGCTCAGTGGTCTAATGGTTAAGTGCTCGAGCGCGAAGCCAGTAGGTCCCGGGTTCGAGCCTCGCGTGGTGCGGGATCGTGGATGCGCACTGCTGAGGAGTCCCATACTAGGACGAAATGGCCGTCCAGTGCTTCCAGGTTTTCAATGCTTAAACAATTTCACTTTGGTTACAAATGATTTCAGGGAATAGTTGAACTGCTATGAAAATGTCCAATCACAACACACTTTATTTTTTGGTACTTTTTGTTTGATATTTGGCATTTGGATCAACAATCAGGGAACCAGATCATAATTCTAGATGAATTCTTTTTATTAGTTAGTTGTCAAAAATATATTAGTTTTCGTTGCATTTCCTATTCGTTAGAGTGGTCTGTTTATTTCAATTCCTTCATTGATATCGTCCTAGGAACAGTATTCTATGACTTTCGAAGATCAATCCACCAGATGGTATTCCTATTTGTCATTTAGTCGTTTTCAACGTACAACGTGGATTCGATGTGCGTTGGTCCGAGTTGTTTAAGCAAAACGCCCCCGAATGTCTTGGTACGGTCGATGGTGGGTAGAGTTCACTCTCGAAATGCTCTCATATGACTACATCTACACAGCCACTGCCAGGGAAGTCCTCCTCGCGGTGGGGGTGTTGTTTACGAAATCGCAAGGACGAAAAGCAAGTAACCGATGCTTTAACCGGGTTGGTGGACACGGAGAGTTCATCTAGAAGAGTTAGAAAACCCTGATTCTAAACTAATAGTGCACATGGGCTACAGGATCCTAAGGGAACAGATGGTGTATGAACGTACTGTTGGTCACCGGCTACCATGAGACTGCATCTACTAAAGTTGCTCCACTGCCTTGTAAATAAGACCTGTAGGTTAAAGGCTCGGGGTGTGATCCCTAAGGAATCCACCTCCCTCAGTTTGGGCTTCCGAGCAGTATCACAGCCCGCACGCATATCAGTGATAACTGCTACTGACCTTATTGTTATTGTGTGGCGCATTTGTATTCGGTGCCCCTTTGTACACCAATATTTGTGTGTTCAAACATATAAACATGGCACAATGGCAATATAGATAAGTGCCGAAAGTTCCTTAAAAATATGAGGATATAATTCTTTTCAACTACCTTCGAATATTTTGGTAAAAAGCTTGCAAATACTTAGATGTGCATCTTCATCATCGGGAAAATTGACGTCTCTTTCGGAACTTGAACTTATATTATCACAGATAATTCATTTAAATACCATATGTCACGATATACATGGGTTGGTTGCATAATAATGAACAGTGGAGAGTTGTAACTCAGGTGGGTGATTTTCATGGAGTTTTGTTTTCTGAGCTGGATGGTTTGGTCGTGATCACGACCAATAGTTTATCCCCTGGTTCTCGTTATGAGATAAAGTCTACTAATGAAGAATTTCACTATGGTCGCTAAGTTTAATAATGTAATAATTCAAGAAAAACTTAAAATGAGTTCACTTGATCCTTTTCAACTTCCACGACCATTGATTCCTAAAAAATGTATAGTCTAGAACTAATTAGTACCAGGATGTTCGGATTTCGTTTCTGGCACACTATAAGCAAACCGTTGCTTCAGGACTGGTTTTTGTCAATGATTAATGCGACCATAGGAAATGAAGTAGTTCAGTACAGTCACTATTTAACTTGTACGTTTTATCAACTCCAATGAGTTAGTTGCTAGCAAGGCTTTACAACAGTGCAGGAATCCCGCTGCCTGTAACACAGGTGTGGTCTGTTCGACATTCATGATGCCGTAGTACTACCCGTAACTTTCTACAGCCTTGAAACTGCCTATAAAAGTAGGAGATATACTTCAGTTATAATTAGCTAATCACAGATACCTTTAGTGTGTTGTCCATGTATGGTGAGACCAAGTGTATAATTCTTCATCTACTGAGATTGTTGGGCTACGTATTGCGCATGGCTGAACGCCGGTTACCACGACGCACGATGCTGGCTAGTGTTAGAGATGGATGTAAGAAAGTTAGGGGCGGCCAAACGAAAACGTGGCATCAGTCCTTGAAGTCACTAACTTCTGGTCTGAGTCATGTTGGCAGATTCAGACTACTTGGTTGGGGTCCGCACGACTATTGTAACCAATGATTGAAGACTCTGGATGACATGTCTCAGAATCGACCACAATGGCGTAGGTGTATACACTCTGTCTTCCCTTAAACTGTGAGATTAATGTCGTTTCATATCTTTCTTTCCACGGACTAATTCTTTCTTCCTGTACTATGTCGTTATATACAATCTTTCTTTTATATATTACCACCACTGAATTAACTACTTTCATGAATCCGTTGTTCATCTTGTTGTGCTAATGAGGTATGGCAACTTTGACCGATGCATATATGTGCCTGGTTCTACGCTGTAGCTGACTGACATCCACTGTCCTGCACGAGGGACTTAAACCTACGACACCCGACCTGGTGAGCGAACGCTTAACCTCCAGACCACTGAGCAGGTGTTCAACGGTGTCTAACTTCAGTCAATTCACAGCATTGAGCGACCATCTATTGTTTTTAATGGGTATCTGCTTACCACCCGACATAATAGTCCAATGTTGTTGATTGATTGAGGTTAGAAATTAACATCGTTGATACTGATTCAGTGGTCTAGAGGTTAAGTGTTCGCCCATTAGACCGAAGATCATGTGTTCGCGTTCAGGTTGCTGGATGTGCACTCATTAGGAGTCCCATATTAAGACGAAACGGCCGTCTAGTGTTTCCAGATTTTCAATGGTGGTCTAACTTAAATTGGTCCGTGATTTCACTGAAAATTATTTCATTTGTAGTAGTTGGTAATTTTCAAATCTATTCATTCAAAGTGTGCATGACGTTGTAGCTATTAAATAATCTGAAATATTCTACATACCACTGAGATCAAGCGATTTTATTCTTAATCTCTAGAGAAAAGTGATTTTAATTCCTGATGGACTGAAGAAATACGTTTTTGTCTAGGTTGACAAATGTAGGAACTGTCCCTCTAAAGCTCTTTTACAATTATATGGTAATTTCTTATCAAGTGCGAATTCACCAATACTTATCTTAGTACAATTTGTGTAGAAGAATGATAAAATAGGTTTTGCCGTTTTCCTGGAGATTATGATTTTTCCTACAACTACTATAGTTATTAAACAATATCAAAACTCATTATGCTAAGGGGAAACCAAGTTAAATCTTTGTCGTGTTTATTTATTATTCTGCTGAGAACGCTATTATTATCATCACTATTATTATTATTATCATCATTAGTAGTAGTAGTTGTAGTAGTATTAGTATCGACTTTACTACTCAGTAATTTGCTTCAACAATTTCATCTTATGGGTTCTAACAAATTAAACTGATGCACGTACGTACTGCGTTACACGTTGTTAGCGCGAACAAGGATATGATCTGAGTCCATATAAGCAATCCAGAAGAAGTGGTACTCTTCTATACGACGAGGTGAACGGTAGCTTATCGCTGTGATAAATCTTCGTTCAGGCTTAGGGTGCCGAGAGAGAGAGAATACCAGGAAACATATCGAGGATGGCTGTGCTGAAAGTTGGTTCTAGCTAGAAACAGGTGGTTTGTGCAAAGCTACAGGAGACATCATGACTTGCAATCAACGAGTTCCCATTGTCCACCTAGATGGCTCTCCTCTGTGCCTAGATGCCCTACCTACTCATTCAGATATCAAACCAATATTACAATATCCGTCGAACACGATTCTCTGAGACCGTCTAACAGTTGGCACAATCCATCCTTGATTTTATCCGGTCTGCAGTCTGTCGTGGCGTAGGCGGAAATGACAAAAAGATATCATTTTTCACACTGATTTCTCATTTTGATGTAGCTCTCTAATCTAACAACACGATCGGTTGTTAATATGTTCCCAGTCGATTAGAGCTGCCTCATATTTGGAGTTTAATGGTACACCAACCCTCGCAAAACAGGAAGATGACTCCAAATCTGATAAACGCATGTGAAACAAGGTTTTCGAAGTGACAGATGGAAATTAAATGTTCACTTCATTATGAACTTAAATACTGGTCTTGGATAAACAACAGACATCGATGTTCAGGCTTTCTAAAGGCAGCCAAATTTATATGTTATACGGTATGCATTAGTGTGGGGACGTTGGAGGAGACCAATTTTATATGGGACTTGTGGTTTCAGGAAAGCTGGTTCAAGATACGTATTTCGTGATAGCATTTAACTTCCTACCATTCAGTGCCCTGAAAACATTTATATAGGATAGAATTTTCATCATCAACGAGATTCTATGTGAGTTGATAAAATAACAGAATGCTCAAAAGTAGAAAAGGAATAGACGACTAACTCAATGTAAAGTGAAAAACAATGTTACTAAATAATTATGAATGTCGTTTGCACAAAAGTGAGTTGGAGCAAGGGTCTTTTCTCCAGTCGTAATCATTAAGTTTATGTGTGGCCGAGATGCTGCTCGAGTGCCCGGTTGTCTAAGAGGATTTCTTCCCAAGCCTTTGTCCTCGTGGTCTAGTTTACAGAGTAATGGAGCAACGTTAGGAGACGCGATCCTATGGTACCCAAGCTATTGGCTTCCGTCATACTTCGTAGGTTGTTCAAAACCCGAGAAAGACTGACTCGCGAGAAGCAGGCTGGGTGTCGTTCTGGTCGAGGATGTATTGATCATAGCTTCACCCTCCGCCAAATGTTAGAGCATCACCATACTTATCAAAGGCCAACAATCGTAGTGTTTCTTGACATCAGGTCTGCCTTCGATTCTTTGGATAGGACTGTTCTCTAGGGTTGTCTGTTGAAGAAGGGTGTGCCTGAGAAGTTTATTAACATCCTAAAAGCCCTGAATCTCACCATTCCTCTTCAACTTTGCCATCGACGATATTCTGGAAACAGCTCTGATGGATGTAAGTAATGGCGGTGTGGATCTGTTGCCTGGAGAGACTTCTCGAGCTTGAGTATGCGGATGATGATATTTTCTTACTGTGCGATAATGCCCAAGGCGTGCAATCCGCACTTAATCATTTGGCAATCAGTGTCCGTAAGTATGGTATATGCTTTGCACCTTCTAAGTGCAAAGTACTTCTACAAGACTGACAGGATTCTAACCCTGTACTCATCCTGGATGGTGAGCAGATAGAGGTAGTCAAGAAGTTCGTGTATCTAGGTATCTGCATAAGTGCTGGTGGGGGTGTGAGTGATGAGATCAACGCACGTATAGTAAAAGCCAGAGCGGCTTATGCCAATCTGGGCCATGTTTGGCGCCTTCGTGATGTTAGTCTGGCTGTAAAATGTCGGATCTACAACGCGTCGGTGATAGCAGTTTTGCTCTATGGTTGTGAAACTTGGCCTCTCCGGGTTGAGGACGTTAGACGACTCTCTGTGTTCGATCATCGTTGTCTCCGAAGGATTGCTGACATTTGGTGGCAATACCATGTTAGTAATGCAGAGGTTCGGGTACAGAGACGATAATGCAATTTGTGTCACCATATTGAAACACCGACTTCGGTAGCTTGGACATGTTCTACGAATGTCGTCCCAAGAATTCCACGTCGTGCATTATTTGCCGACTCTGGGACTGGTTGGAAAAAGCCGAGAGGTAGTCAGTGAATGACATGGTGTCGTGGCATGAAAGAAAGCTGCAAAGGACTGGCTTCTGTTGGTCCTTCACGACTCCCTGTTTGGGGTCCGAGAGATGATGCAACACAGTGGCTAGAGACGTTATTAGATATGGCTCAGAATAGAAGCCAGTGGCGATCCTGCTGTAACCTTCTTTTACTTTCTTCATAAATAGTGGTTGTATCTTCCTTAACTGAAAGACTTCTTCTGATTGTACCTTTCCGTTCCCCCATTATTACCACCATTATTATTACACTAGCTTACACCAATGTCTTCATTAGTTTTTTACCCTCCTTACCTTTTTTCTTTTTCCTTCTCTTTAAATTCGGATTGTTTTGTGTGGCGCATATATATTGGCGCACTCTTGTACCAATATGTATGTGTTCAAATAATAAATAAAACCCGGTGACTAAAAATAGACTTATACGCTACTCGGCCCGTCACGATTCTGAAACTCATGTGTAGCATCGGTTTTGTATATAGGTTTTTCCAACTCCCCTAGGTGAATTCTCCGTGCCCTGTAATCCAGTTTAAGAGCCAGGCATTTGCCTTTCATCCTACCACTTCCACGATAAGATAGTAAGTAGGACTCTCCTAGCAGTGGCCATATGAAAGCGTTTCGAGGGGTAGATCGGAAATATTTCCACCTTTTCCCTACTCGGGCAGTTTACCTAACATGACAGTTCAAACATTTGTGTCCGTTACTAACTTTAAAGCAAACACAAGATGGGTATTTGTGATGACGACACTATTTGAACTTAGTTCACTATGGTGTAGATTATTTATCAACCATATGCTTGTGTACTCGGCTTTGTATGTAAGGGTTAGTGCTACTACCCGGTAGCCAAAACTGAAGTAGATGTTACGGGGTTTGAGCTTGCTACGTGGTGGTTGAGAACTAAATGCTTTCACTACCGAATACCCACTTCAATCTAACAGTTAACCTCATAAGAAGTCTTCACATGAAAGCAATGACATGTAGTATTTTATAGGTGTTCACCATCAACTTTCTAGTTCAGCTTTGTTGTACATGTACTAATTAAGGTAATGAAATTGTACAACAATTGGGATAACTTGTTTTTATGTTACTTTCCCCATGTCACCATCTTCTTAAACATCCAGTACTGGCTGACAGAACACATGGTGTGATAGAACAGCTACTATTTATCTAAATTTTAGTTATTAATTTAGTTGTTTGAAAATAATCTAGTTTGGTTCTTATTAGCTCAGGTATTCAAATAACGACATGAGCTGCCGAAATTGCTAGCCAAAGCACATATTACCGGCATGATTTTAGTTTGCGTGTTTATGTACATGTTAATATTTACGTATGTTTCTAATTCGTTCACCATCATCACTGGAGATAGATGGGAGCCTGGCACTGTTGTTTCAAAACAATTATCTTACAGACGACTTTTCAATATCAGGTACCGAATTATCATCTAATCCTTAGATTCATCTGTATTTATTAATTATCGTAAAATTGAGAGTAGAACCTACAGGCTTCAAAACATATACCCTCATTATAAAAAGGATGTTATCATTGTTCGTTAACTAAATTCTCACATTTTTTTCGTGAATTCTTCCAGTTTTTAAGTGCTGTCTGTACTCTGTTTTCCATCATTGAATCACATATCTGAATCGTATCTCACTTATTTCGCTATTCGGGCAATACTTCTCACAAAGCTTAATGCAAAAATGTGTACTTAATTTGGAAGGTTCATTTTTCAGACCAGAAATATGTTGCGCTGCATAAGTTTATACTATAGTTTATCGCGTGTAAAAGTGACAATCATAATACTGTTGTTTGTAATCATGTCTGTTATTACGTTGTTATGCAATTTTGTTCCTATGTATAGCTTCTTTATTTAGTCTGTATATCAGATGTAAACTATGAACGGTCAGAACCGGTGACTGATCTAGTAAATAATATACAACCAAATGAATATGACGGTTTGAACTTGTTAGCCTAGTAGGGAAGTTAGTTGTTCTGGTTATTTCAGTCAAACAGAGTAGCAGTCATATCTCTCATGGTCACAAAATTCTAAATTAGATTTTATTCAGTTAAGCGACTTACCAACTACTATGACAAGTTCAAACTACCGTATACATTCGATTATGAACCTTATGGTGGTTACTGAATCTCAAAGTTAATTTACGTTCACGCCGTTTGTGTTCTAGCAACACCCATCTGAACCGTATTCACAGATACAAAACAAAACAGATATCCCTTTTATTTTTAAACCTTCGCCATTTTCTTCATTATAGGTAGTCAAGTACTGCCTTTAATCCACATACTAACGATATGGCTTAAAACTTACTGTATTGTTGTGTGTCTGTTCACTAGGTTGCTTAAATGCAGTAGTGTTTATTTTGCGTGACTTAGTTATCTAGACAGTTTATGGTCATTGGACTACAGTTTCACAAAAAATTTTGGCCTGTCGACTGGAGTATTATTGTTAGTCTATTTGGTTAGATTTGTTTCCCTTTCACTTAAATATAACATTTTCTAACTAATAATTTGTTCCGTTCCTTTAGATATCGAAATGGTCGCGTTGGAATTTATTTCTCAGTTAGATAAACTACACTTTGTTGATTCTGTCGGACTAGATGATTTCGCAGATCGATGCTCTTATATGTTATCATTTGTTATTCTGGTCATGTGCTTTACTATTGTTACACTGAAATCTTATGTCTTTGAACCGTTGTCATGCTATATTCCAACTACCTTCTCGGGTTCTAATTTGGGATCGTACATAAATGCATTTTGCTGGATTAATGGAACTACACCGATAAGTGTAGATACGGATCAGCTAGATAATCCAACGTATTGGAGTAGTTTAGAAGATAAAAAAATCAGTAAGTCTTTTTCTCTTTTGATTATATTTAGCGCCATAATATATTTTCGTTCGCATAGTTTTTAACCTAGATTTGTTTTGACATGATTTTCTAGATTAACAGAGCTTTGGAATAAAGTTCAGATTCAAATGGTTCAGGTATAAAAAGTAATCAAGAGTCTTACGCACTTTTGATTTTGAAAGTCTTTTATAACTCTTATATAGGTTAACTTCACAATTCATGTAATAGTATAGGATGTGGGAGTTTGTTACCAAAAGAATTTGAGTAAATCTTAGTATCTAATGATTGACGTATTATAGTGTTTGAGCAGGGTGCTCATTCAATCTGCTCTAGTAGCTAAGCTGTTAATGAAATTGAATTACGATCAACTGACTCGTAGGTTTAAGCCTCAACCCACCTACTTCAGTTTGGGTAGCGTAGACAATTGTTCATGACTACTTGTACATTCTTGATGATGATGATGATGATGATTGTGATAGCTTTCCAAGTTTCAGCTCCAAACAGTAGAATTGTCCTGGAGATTGTGATTTTGATGTTGATTGATAGTTGTTTTGAGCTGTATATGTTCTTCAGTTGTAGGAACGCGATCCTTGTTTTGCCAATCCTTGCCTTTACGTCTGCATTGGATCCTCGTTGTTCATCGATGATGCTGATCAAGTACGTGGAATTTCCACATCTCCCAGAGTTTCTCCATCAAGTGTGATTGGATTGGTGTTCTCCATGTTGTATTTGAGGATGTTGATTTTTCCTTGTGTATGTTGAGACCTAATGATGTAGAGGATTCTGCTACACTGTTTGTCTTCATCTGAATTTGGTCGTGTGTATGGGGTGGAATTGCCAGATCATCATCTGTGAAGTGACGAGTTCTATTCGATTGATTGTTCAACGATGATGCGTATTGTGGTGATTTGGTGTGTGCATGACTAATCCTTATGGAATCCAACCTGTTGATCTCGAGGCTGTGCACTTACTGAATCCTTCATCCGGTTCGGCTTTCCTTCTTTGTCTCTGACCGGTCTTTCCGGTTTACCACATTTCCCTACCAGTTTCTTCGTCGTGTCAGATAGTTGTTTGGTATTCCCTTCTCTTGCATCATTTTCCTCTGTCACTGCCAAGTGTTCCTTGTATTTCTGTTTGTCAGCTGTAATGCTCTAATGCTCACTCTCTTGTTTGCTTCAGTGTATTCAGCTTGTGTGTTGACTTTCTGTGTTCTCGTTCGACTGTTGTTAATTGTTACGCTATTGTTCTTCGTTTCTTGTATCTTGTCCACGGTTTCGATGTAGATCTATTCCATATGATGATGATGATGATGACGATGATGATGCTTGTTGCAGCCCAGAACCTGCTAACACGTTGAAGTTAGTGTATCTTCGACCTCTTTCCAATTGTCCTCCATCGCAGTTTTCTCTTCTTTGAGTAGATCATGTAGTGTTTGCAACCTGTTGTTGAGAGCTATGTTGAATTGGTTGATTTTGTCAGTGTGTTGAAAGAATTGTGTATTGAACCTTCGTAATGCTGTTTGTCCAGTTGTCCAGTGTTTCTTTCGCCTCAGTTTCATCTTTACAACGACGAGTTGGTGATGGTGACCTGAAGTAATGTCAGCTCCTTAGCTGGTTTTCACATGTTCCATTGACCTGCTGAATATTTTGCTGATGCGAATATGATTGATCTTGTTTTTCATAGTGTGATCCGACGAAACCAATTTAGTTTTGTGTGAACGTTTGTGCGGAATATAGTGACACCTATAACCGATTTTTTGAACTCACATGAATTTGCAAATCTCTTAACACTTTGATCCCCTTCTCCTAGTCCATGTGGTTCCATGATATCTTGATATCCGATGTTGTCCATTCCGACTTTGTCGTTTAGGTCTTTCATCATGATGATGAGATCATTTTTTCGGGCACTTCGATAGGTTTATTACAGCCTCTCATCGAACTGATCTTTATTGTAGTCTTTGTTATTATTGGTGGGTGCATAACACTGGCTAACGCTCATTGTGATTCCCTCCTTCTTTGTTTTGAAGGATGTTTAAATGTTCCTAAACTCCATTCTATTCCTACCTAATAATTTCATTTCGTGGATTTTTGAACAGCATCACAACAACTTCGTAAGTGTGTGGAGCATTTTGCTCTTTTTGACTGGAGTACAACATCATTTCACCCATATCTGGCCTTTGCTGTCCAACATGGATCAAATAGGTTTCACTTTCTATGAGTACCTCTCAGTTGTATCTCCTCATTTCTGTATCTACTTGACTTTTCCTTCCGGTCTTCCACATTGGGCGGACACTATGTACCTATAATAATTGTTGTTGTGGTTGTCAGAAGGGGAGTAGGCCTCGTGATTTCCGTAGAATTCCGGTTTTCATCATGAGGTGTCATAACTTTTCTGTACATAGAACTCCCTTGACAGATTTTAAATGGTTTGTTTATTTATTTATTTTTAATGTGTTTTTAGCAAGTTTTTTTCTGTGATGTGGTTGCTGAACTCATGCCAAATCCTCCTTTACCTAGTCTTGGGACCGGCAGTATCACTAGCAGAGCTACAGGCGGTGCTACTTGGAACGCGGATCTCATTAATTAAACTTAGCTGCTTTGGTTACTCTTAATTATGTTTATTTAGATTTATATAGGGAATTGTCATAGGGCTTTAGATTTTGGTTTATGATTAAGCCCTATAGTGAGCAGTACATAAACAAAACCTATTTGATTGTATCTTGTACACTGTTCAACCTAGTTGCTGTCTACGAACCTGTAAGGATTTCGATACAGCTATTTCCAGTTTTACTTCGCACCTTTCTGGATTGAATATAATTCAAGCACATCACCTACACGTCTGACTTTCTAAAATAATTTCGTGTGAAAACCTTAATGGATAAAAAGGAGACTGACGTTTTGTAGTCGTCATGAGAATTTTACGATGCAATAGGGTTAGGAATCTGAGTCTTCCTCATTGATTAGGCTTTTGTTAAGATGGTCGAGCAACGGTAGGGGATGTTTACCTAACTTTCTACGTCTCTGAATTGCCATATTCATTGAAACTGCCCAAAACAAACTATATTTGACTCACGATATCTTGAACCGGTCCATTAGAAAGTCACGGTTTATTTTCCTCAAATCATTTTTCGTGGCAATATTTCAGTACTTAATGAAAGACCAGTTGAGGTAAGATCGTTAAAGATTATTTCTTCAGGTTATTATCTCTGATTATCCCGCTATATATGCTGTATTGTCTTCACTGTTCCTGTGATCCAATAGTTGACATTTTCTGGAGAGTAGTGCCGGGTCAGTGATCCGATTGACTCAGAAGTTGTTTATATCTTCTGTAACTTGTCAAAGTGACTAATTAAAACCTCAAATTATTTTGAGCACATTTTTAATTGGGTTTTATGTAACATAGTTTTAATGGTACATCATGGAAGATATACCTAATAGAATATTTGGAAAATGTGACTATTGTAAATCTCCGTTGTGAATACAGTGTGTGGTCAATTTTGTCTGGTTGGTTCATTACAGTTTTATGAATACATTTAATTTTATTTGTAGAATGTTGTTCTATTAGGTCCGTCTAATTATCGGGTAACTATAGTGAGTTGACTTCTATTGGATTTTGTTTTGTTTTATGAAACGAAGTAGATTTTTGTCCTTCTACACAATCCTATTGAAAAAGACTGATCGTTGGATTTCATCATAATTATCCCTAATTTCAGTTACCCTCTTTTTTTTCAGATTATTATCAATGGGTTTCACTGGTTTTGGCATTACAAGCTATTCTGTGCTACCTACCTCGCCTTATTTGGGAGGCAATTACTTTCAATCGTGTTGGAACAAATTTAGGATTCTTGCTTGAATCAGCACGAGAAGCTTCAAAGGAAACTGGAAAGGAAAGATCAAATCGTGTTCAATTTATAGCAAATGTTATGGATACATTGTTGTTTGCTCGTCGGGATCTACGTAAATTAGAAAATGGTCTTAAAGATCAAAATTTTTTTAACACAATTTTGCATACTATTCAAAATTTGCTTCCGCGTAAAAGGCTTGGTACTGCGTTAGTCACATACTACATGATAATCAAATCATTTTATTTGCTAAATGCAGTTGGACAACTCTTATTGATGGAACGATTTTTGGGTGTCCGTGGAGAATATCGTCTATTTGGCTTATCAATTTTAAGTGATTTGATTATGGGTAGACATTGGAATGAAACTAGTGTCTTTCCTCGAGTGGGTTTTTGTCGTGTACCAATCAAATTGACGAGTACACCTATACCTATGGTCACTGTACAATGTACATTGCCAGTTAATATGCTGAACGAAAAGATTTATGTGTTTTTATGGTTTTGGTTTGTGTTTGTTGCTTCTCTGGAGGTTGCGAGTATTGGAGTTTGGATTTGTCGTTTGGCCGCACGGCAATCGAGATTGAGAAGTTTGATTCGATATTTAAAAGTTGCAGATGTTTATGAAGAATCAATGGATCCATTACTTGCTCGATTCGAATTGACATTTCTTCGAATGGATGGCAGTTTCCTTTTACAAATGATGCGTTTAAATGCTGGAAGTCTTATCACACAAGAAATCTTACAAGCAATGTTGAAGCGTTACACAGAACAAGAACAATATGCTCAGAAAAAACGCGTTGAACGACAACCTTCGGGACCAAAGTCTGTAGAAATAGAAAAAGATGGTCTACTTCCTGACTCTCCTGATTGTACTGTAACAAAGCGTTTAGATGTTGTTTAGTTCAGTAAATAAATTTCCAGTATGAAGATTGAATGCATTGCAAAAATTCATCTCTACCTTTTGTATTACTTCTTTCTTTTCATTTTTCATTTACAGTCTCATCGATCTGATTAATATAATGGTTTTTCTGGTAATCTACATTCAGTTTAATTTACGAAGCTCAGGGTCATTTCTAACTATTTTCCCCTATGTTTTTTTTCATAATAAAAGCTTCAAGGTCATGATTTGTTTTGACTTTTTATTCTTTATACATTATCGAGCTGTAACGTACGTGTTATGCGGCGTTATGCTTTTGGTAACAAACTGGTTACCAATCATTGACCGAATAAAATATTGGTTTTCAAAGTGTATTTATCGTTAGTTATAAAGTTTTCATTTTTTTCGCTAACTTGCTTGTTGAGATATACAAGCTGTCAATAATCCCAGTCGTATAAGGTTCAAAAGCTTTGACTAAGTTTTTAAAAATCGGTGGTCTATTTCTTGCGGAATGTAAGTATTTTTTAGGTTTATATTGGTTTCGTATTTACAGGGATTGATTTTTCATCTTATCAACATAACTTTTGAGGAAAGTCAGAACAAAAATTTGAGCAGGATAAAGTGGTTTCATTTTATCTCATTAGTTCCTCATCAGCTGCTTACAACATGAAATATTAAAAAATCAAGGTTATAAAGTGAGTTGAAAATATTGACATAAATGAGTTTGGTTGGAAATTTGTTGTGATTACACAAAACATAGTAAATACGTAAATAAATTCAAGAGGCTGAATAAAAATGTCACAAATAATTGTCATCTGTAGGGGAACATTTTGTAGCACCAATATTAACAAAAGATTAGATGGCTAGAGATAAGTAAAAACTAGTTCGGTTAAACATAAAATTATTGAACTAGAAGGGCGTCAAAATAATAGTGGAACAATGTAGCTAATTGAGAGTTGAAAAAACTTTTATGGTGTACCGAGGCAGGGCTTATGTTAGCATAGCAGAGAGTCTAACAACTATTCTTCTCGAACACTTGGTAGCGCTAACTTGAGAAGTCTAAGAATTGGTTATTCACCAGTTGCATTGAAGGATTTAGAAGTATCCACAAAACATTCTGTGTCCAATAGATTTGGAGATCACTTTATTCAAAGTACTCTATCTCAATTGAATGTTTTTAGGAACATGTTCAAAATATCAGAAATGGGACCCCCTTTTTGTCCGATCAATGTAGCTACTTTCCCAATTACCTATATGCTCATAAACGCGTGGGCGTAAAATGAAGAGGATGATGTTGATCTTTGGTTGAATCATTTAGTGTTATTTTTTGTTGAATTAGTTCGGCTACGGAGCGGATTCTGTTTAATTCAGTGTTAAGTATATTAATAATTGTTCACGCAACATGATCACCTGTAAAATTGAGATGAATAAGTTATTCAAGTCAATAAAAGACCTATCTTTGTTTGGGTCAAATGTCTCAAACGTACAGCTAATCAACGGCTTTGAAAAATGTCAGAGTTCCCATCAAGGTTAGTAGTGACTACAGAAATTTGTGAAATCCCCCAGAGATAAATGTTAGTCGAAAATAAACATTTAAAGCCAGAATGAGGCTAATGAAATAGTTGCATCTATCTCTTTCTTTTAGAGAATTCTAGAAGTCAATTGGGTTACTGTTATAATGGGATGAGGAGGCGAAATCACATTTTTAACTTACTGTGATTCTTGCTCAACATTACTTCCGTTTTAAATTCTATGTGATGATTATTCAGAGTAATATTTGTTTCTGTTTTCCAGTGTGATACTTGGTATAATATTGATTTATTTGACCGTGATATTATTTCAAAATACAATATTCTTGTATAAAATTAATATGAACTATGTTCAGTATGATAGACAGCATGTGATTTTATAACCCTGGGTATTTGTTATATGTGATTTTATCGTAATTAGTAGTCAAAATGGGTGTACAATCACAATATAAGAAGTGTAATTTCGACTAAGATCGTCGTCGTGTTTTGTGTTTAATAAATCTCCACTTTTACCAGTCTTGTTGTCCCTACTTCGCGTCGTGGGGATTTCAGTTATTCCTCGTTCTTTCAAGTATATGTAATAGACGACGCGGGTTCAACAGTTAGTGACACTACTTTTCTAGGGCTGAACTATGTAGATGAATGAAGTAACTACCATTATCCAATGCACGATCACACTGCGTGATATGTTGCTTCCTAAGTGTTCTATGTCCATGAAACATGCGTGTAAATGATACGATAGGTTGTTTTTGGATAGCTTGTAATTATGCTGCCCATGTCGAATGAATAATTGTGCTTTCAACCTCTAAACTTACCATTGATATCATAGTTTCATGATTTTCAGTACAAAATGTATTATTTATGTAACCATGGTTTCCAACGCCTCTGATCAGTTTATTGATATTAAATTCTAAATGAATTAATCAAAAAGTAGTCTAAAGTAATTTCAAATTGTTTTCGTAAAAGTTTTCTTTGGATGTTCATGTGATTAATTCAGAGGTGAGGTCTAGAAGACGTGAGTTCTTTATTCAGTAAAGTTGTAAATATTATTTGAACAGACGGCTGATAGCAGTTAAGGGTAGATGGGGATTCGACAGATAGGAACAGGTGATTGAGTACCTGTTTTTATTTTTAACTTAGTAGTATGCATCTGATCAACGGCTTTTTTAAGTCCTTAGTACTATCGAATTTCAATTTACAGACATGGTGAACTTTCTAAATGAGCGTTAGTTTTGAGAGCTGCAACGCTCATTGAGTATTTGTTTTTCAGACTAATGCTCTAAGTGCATGATTAGTTGATTGGATGGAGAATGTCGGCTTGAATGACTGCACCAGGATTTATATCAAACAAAAAAGTATTTATATTGAGGGGAAATTCAGACTCATTTTAAATTAACAATCTTCTAATTATACATCTGATATAATAATCAGCTGTTAACTGAATTTCGATTGCATTTTAATCATTGTGAAGTGTCATTTTCACTTGTATGAGTATTTGAGTTATATTATGTCACACTGCTAAATCTTCGTCGATTGAATCATTTTACAAAACTAGTTATGTAAATACAAACAGAACTGGTATTTTTCTTCCAACTACAATCTACACCCTTATATGAATAACAGATTTTGATAAACAGTCCAACTTCTAAACGAGGAACTACATTTACGTCTAGTCAATAGATAAGTAGGATAGAAATAATTAGTTTTTCTCAGTCTGTTACAGCGAGTCGATGTCAATTTTGACACGGTAAATAGTCAGTTAGCAGTGCACGCTGAAAATTTTCCAGCTAGCCGTAACTCATTAACTTGGTTGATTAGTAATATGGTGTATCCTAGTGACTTAACTGTGAGGGGATTTTTCTAGTAGGTATGGTTATTAAACCAAGCCTCTCAGATCCCCACCTACGACTGAGCTAAATTTTCACTACTTCATGAAATTACGTAAGCGTAGATTATCGTGAATTGGATTGCTGTCAGATAGTTTTGTTTTTGACTACATTTTTACTCCCAGCCGCTCAATTTTGAGATAAAAACTAGAACTAAATGTACTGAGTTTACTTTCATCACGATCAAAATTCACTTTATTTGTGTATAAGCTCACGACCTAGTCTGTGCTTTGAGCACTTCGGTTCCGGTCAGTCTTAGGTTTTGACTTTGCGGATTTGTGTACATTACTTATTTTTTCGTTTTTCATACTAAAGTAGTTTCAAAATGAGCAAGTAGTTAATACAGTGATTACTAGTCTTTTGATATCTAAGTACTTGAAACCTGGTCTCATACTCAAAATCAATAAACATTTGTTTGTTAACTGTTTCTATTCTTTTTCTGCAAAATCCCAATTTATGCCTGAATCATTTCTCATTTTAGGTAGTGAGTATGATCATAAGTAAATGCCCTTAATCCCAAATATGAACCATCGTAGAAAAGATTATTTTTTTAAAACAATATTCTCAAAGTGTGTTTAGATTATTAACCGTTTTCTCTAAACATCCAACTCTGATCGATAGAATTCCCATTCGAAGTCATTCATGAAAATCAACTGAGATATGGTTTTAATAAAAAAAAACAACTGAGTATACTATTGATGTATGCCACTAGTTAAACGACACCATCCACGTCAACCAATATATTTTTTACCGGAAGGAATGTAATGATTTGAACACTATACAGTTTTTCTGCCTGTTTTTAATTATTCTGATCTTAATTTATTTTTTGTGTTTGACAGTGTAGTTTCGCTTTTTGAAAGTTCGATGGAATGACACAAAGGCCAACATAAAGAATGTAAACTAATCCCATTTATTCCCTAACACAACTCCCAAAGATCATAAAGACAATAAGAACTTGACAATTTTATAACCACTTCAACTAATGATGACCAACTGTAGGATGGGGGAATATTCCAAGCAAAAACATAGTGTCAGGAATATTACTGGATAGCTACGTTTAGGCACAAAATGGACGTTTGTCCGGTACAATGATTTTCAGTGTTTATATGACTAATATCAGCTTGTAATACATAATAATTACTTTTACATTGACTGAAGAAATTGTGATATTTGTATGTAACCCTGATTTCTTTGTACATTTATTCCGCGCCTATTATGAAGTCCATGTGCAATACCTTCTACGAGTTTTCTGAAACTTAATTTTTTTAAATTTAAGGATAGTGTTATTGTAAAGTGATTCATTGAGCTAACTATATCTTTTTCATCTGGCAAATTTGTCGAAAATTTAAAATTTATTCCAACTAATTAATAAACCATATCATTATACTGGCAATATATTCGTAAAATAGAGTTATTCCCGTGACCCAGATATTACAATAATGTGTGTAATACAAATAATAATAATAATAATAATATATTTGTAATATCCCAATGAGTAGAAAATTAGATTTTCTGACGTTTTGTGACTTAGTGTAAGTCACTTCTTCAGAGAATAAATAACCAAATTAAAATTAATCCAAGTTTAAATAGTACAACGGAACAATGCAAGAATAATATTGGATCAATCAAAAACAGGTCTGAACAAGTTGATGTCTTGTCATTTCTGTCAAAGTGATTCATTGTTTAAGAATGAAAAATTGTGTGACCTTTATAGTGAGAAAGGACAGAGTTTAAATTTGTAATATGATAGTGTGAAATTGTAAATACGATCAGACTGAATGGTTAGGATAGATGGTCCAAGTAGGATGTATGGTAAGGCCTTCTTTTCTGTT